CAATCATATTTTTGTATTTATTTATTGATGTGGACTTTTTCAGAAAATCAAGGTTTAGTTCACCAATGATGATGCACGGTGATCTTTGATTTTATAACAGACAACAGTCTATCCATTTCTGACATAAACTCAGTACATTTATTTTTTGGGGATCTATATACTGCAAAAATTATCAGGTTTTGTTGTGGTAAATATACTGACACCATGTTACAGCCACTAGTTGAAATTATTAGTTTATTATTTAAAATATAATTTAAACCATTTTTTATATAAATAGATGTGCCACCTCCACTGGTATCACGGCAGTCATACAGCTGAATATGTAGGGATATTAAAGTAATCTTTTTCATTTGTATATGTATAGTCTGGCAAGTGGTAACTTGGTAGAGACGAAAGGGGGAAGAAAAATTGGGCGTAGCCTAAAAATATTCACTGACACCTCAACTGACACCGCCTGATGACAGCCATGTCTTTGGGTTCAGTGGCACCGAAAACACCAAGGAAATAAACCAATAAAATTATTCGAAAAAAATTATCTAGTTTCACCAATAACCACGCCACTGCGTGCTGTCGTTCAGGCTCTAACGAATAGAATTATGCCTTATGTTTTTGTTACTTGAAAGAAGTATATTGTTTAGATCATTCAATTTATTTCTCAAGCTTCTAATATTGATGTATGTTTTCTATATTATGAGATCCATCTCACTTCTAATCCATGCTGGTTTGTCATCTTCTCCTTGTTTTAGGTAAATTTTCCCATCAGCCACAAATACTGCCTCGTAGTTTTTCTGTTTTTTAATTTCTCTCGCTCTTTTGAAAAGTATTTGGCGATGTTTAGTTGAATCTTCATTAAAAAAGATGTTTTTTGCTCCTTCGACTAGTCCACATTCACTTAACTTAATTCGTTTGAGTTTTATTTTACTTACTATAGCTCCCTTTATTTTGTTGCTTTTTAGCTTAAGCATTATAGATGCCTCTTTATTATCATCTATTCGAAATTGCTCTTGCACATCCCCTTCACTTAGGTTTAGCTGCATTGCGTGGAACACCTTTTTCATGACATTCTCAACTAAGTCTTGCTCCTGACGTGGTATGCCTGCGACCAACAGGTTTTTTTTCTTTATCGCGTTGTTCCATGAGGTTCAGTCTCTCTTCTACACTTTGAAGTTTCTGTTTCAGTGTTTGATTTTCTTTTTTCGACTGTTTGATCTCTTCTATTATGTCCTGGAATTTTTTCATCTGCTTCTCAAAGCCATTTGACGTGAATTGCATCGAATCTTCCAATTCGGACATTTCCTTCTCCACAGTGATCTTATATGGCTTGAAATGTTCTCCAAACATACTTTCCAATTAGGCAATTCAAACCACGTGACATTCAAGATGGCGTTGCGGCCACACATGGGCCAAAAAACACAAAAAAATATCTAGTTTCTGCCCGATTTTATAGTTTAGGCATCTAGTCAACAAATATCGTATTAAATATTCAAAATCAAAGTTACAAGCAAATCTCTTAGCAAAATAATTTAAAATACACATAAAAACATATACAAAACAAGCTTGCTTGGCCGCCACGCCATATTGAATTTTCCTTTTTGACAGATGGATTAAATTGCCTAATAGATTTTTCATTTGTTTTTCATTTATTTCGGCCGACTTAACCTTTCATTCTCAATATTAACTGCTCCTCCCTGAATTTCACAGATGGGGTGATAACTGCAGTTGCAGCTGGTGCAATCAATGGAAGAAACTTCTTTTTTTTTGCAAAATTTGCAGTATTTTTTGAACTTGAATAAACTTGTTTACTCTCTTATCCATAACCTCAAAACTTAATTTTTAATTTGTTAAGGGTAGTTTTTCGTATTTCGACGGGGTTTGAGTTAATGGGATTTCGCATAGGGGTTGAAAATTGTGTTAGAATAGTACCCTATCAATTTCATAGCAAGACTCGAAGTCCGAGTTGGAAAACAATACGAAAATCTGAACATTTTTACTTGTTAAGTGTAATTTTTCGTACTTAGACAGTGTTTGAGTCAACAGAATTTTGCATGGGGGTTGGAAATTGTGTTAGAATAGTACCCTATTGATTTCATGGCAAGATTCGAAGTCCGAGTTGGGAAAAAATAAGAAAATCTGAATATTTATGCATTTTTACTTGTTAAGGGTAGTTTTTCGTACTTCAACGGGGTTTGAGTCAATGGGATTTTGCATGGGGGTTGGAAATTGTGTTAGAATAGTACCCTATTGATTTCATGACAAGACTCGAAGTCCAAGTTGGAAAACAATACGAAAATCTGAACATTTTTACTTGTTGAGTGTAGTTTTTCGTACTTAGACGGTATTTGAGTCAATGGGATTTTCCATGGGGGTTGGAAATTGTGTTAGAATAGTACCCTATCAATTTCATAGCAAGACTCGAAGTCCGAGTTGGAAAACAATACGAAAATCTGAACATTTTTACTTGCTAAGTGTAGTTTTTCACACTTAGACAGTGTTTGAGTCAACGGAATTTTGCATGGGGGTTGGAAATTGTGTTAGAATAGTACCCTATCAATTTTATGGCAAGATTTGAAGTCCGAGTTGGGAAAAAATACGTAAATCTGAATATTTATGCATTTTTACTTGTTAAGGGTAGTTTTTCGTACTTCGACGGGGTTTGAGTCAATGGGATTTTGCATGGGGGTTGGAAATTGTGTTAGAATAGTATCCTATTAATTTTATGGCAAGACTCGAAGTCTGAGTTGGGAAAAAATACGAAAATCTGAATATTTATACATTTTTACTTGTTAACGGTAGCTTTTCGTACTTAGACGGTGTTTGAGTCAACGGAATTTTGCATGGGGGTTGGAAATTGTGTTAGAATAGTACCCTATCAATTTCATGGCAAGACTCAAAGTTCGAGTTGGAAAAACATAAGAAAATTTGAATATTCAGGCATTTTTACTTGTTAAGGACAGTTTTTCGTACTTAAACGAGGTTTGAGTCAATGGGATTTTGCATGGGGGTTGGAAATTGTGTTAGAATAGTACCCTATCAATTTCATGGCAAGATTCGAAGTCCGAGTTGGGAAAAAATACGAAAATCTGAATATTTATGCATTTTTACTTGTTAAGGGTAGTTTTTCGTACTTCAACGAGGTTTGAGTCAATGGAATTTTGCATGGGGGTTGGAAATTGTGTTAGAATAGTACCCTATTAATTTCATAGCAGGACTTGCAGTCCGACTTGGAAAACAAAACGAAAATCTGAACATTTTTACTTGCTAAGTGTAGTTTTTCACACTTAGACAGTGTTTGAGTCAACGGAATTTTGCATGGGGGTTGGAAATTGTGTTAGAATAGTACCCTATCAATTTCATGGCAAGACTCAAAGTTCGAGTTGGAAAAACATAAGAAAATTTGAATATTCAGGCATTTTTACTTGTTAAGGACAGTTTTTCGTACTTAAACGAGGTTTGAGTCAATGGGATTTTGCATGGGGGTTGGAAATTGTGTTAGAATAGTACCCTATCAATTTCATGGCAAGATTCGAAGTCCGAGTTGGGAAAAAATACGAAAATCTGAATATTTATGCATTTTTACTTGTTAAGGGTAGTTTTTCGTACTTCAACGGGGTTTGAGTTAATGGGATTTTGCATGGGGGTTGGAAATTGTGTTAGAATAGTACCCTATTAATTTCATAGCAGGACTTGCAGTTCGAGTTGGAAAACAAAACGAAAATCTGAACATTTTTACTTGCTAAGTGTAGTTTTTCACACTTAGACAGTGTTTGAGTCAACGGAATTTTGCATGGGGGTTGGAAATTGTGTTAGAATAGTACCCTATCAATTTCATGGCAAGACTCAAAGTTCGAGTTGGAAAAACATAAGAAAATTTGAATATTCAGGCATTTTTACTTGTTAAGGACAGTTTTTCGTACTTAAACGAGGTTTGAGTCAATGGGATTTTGCATGGGGGTTGGAAATTGTGTTAGAATAGTACCCTATCAATTTTATGGCAAGATTCGAAGTCTGAGTTGGGAAAAAATACGAAAATCTGAATATTTATGCATTTTTACTTGTTAAGGGTAGGTAGTTTTTCGTACTTCGACGGGGTTTGAGTCAATGGGATTTTGCAAGGGAGTTGGAAATTGTGTTAGAATAGTACCCTATCAATTTCATGTCAAGACTCAAAGTTCGAGTTGGAAAAACATACGAAAATTTGAATATTCAGGCATTTTTACTTGGTAAAGACAATTTTTCGTACTTAAACGAGGTTTGAGTCAATGGGATTTTGCATGGGGGTTGGGAATTGTGTTGGAATAGTACCCTGAAAATTTCATGGCAAGACTCGAAGTCCCAGTTAGGAAAAAAATACGAAAATCTGAATATTTATGCATTTTTACTCGTTAAAGGTAGTTTTTCGTACTTCGACGGGGTTTGAGTCAATGGGATTTTGCATGGGGGTTGGAAATTGTGTTAGAATAGTACCCTATTAATTTCATGGCAAGACTCAAAGTCTGAGTTGGAAAAAAATCTGAATATTTATGCATATTTACTTGTTAAGAGTAATTTTTCATATTTCAACGAGATTTGAGTTAATGGGATTTTGCATAGGGGTTGGAAATGGTGTTGAAATAGTGCTTCATCTATTTCATGGCTAGACTCGATGCCTAAGTATTATTTATTGAATTTATTTTGAATTTTAAAAAAGTGCTACGCCAATGGTCGTTCGGGTGTTTCCGTCAAGTTGGTTGCCAAGTTTTGGCTGCTAACTTCACACCGGTATCAGATCTTGCTCCGAATTTAAAAGATCACTTCAAAGTTTATTTTATCTTTTTTTTTAAATCATAATTAAGTATCAATATTTTCATGAATGTAGGAAGCAGGAAGACTGATTTTCAAATACCAGGTAATTTCCATACCATAACTTGATATGGTATAATTGTTTGTTTTAGGATTTTCAAAACTGCTAAATAATAAGTCTATTATATGCTGGTAATAATGTTGATAAAGCTGATTAACGAGATTTACAACGAGACCATCATTTGCAAATCCGGAATATTTGAAGCAGTAAATGTTGAAATCTCATAAGCTTCAGACTAATCATGTCGTCTAACGAAAAATCCTGTGAGTAAACTTTTTTTAATATTTATTTTCTTGTGTCAAATTTAAATATGTTGTCCTTTTTTTCTCATTTTGAAAGTTAGAAAGTTCGAAACAACTAATTGATAATTTCAAATGTTCAATTTTCGATTATGTTCGGCTCTTGATTCGAATAAAGTGCCGAGAATAATCACTCGATTAACTAATTCTTCAATGTAGTAACTCTTTTAGAAAGCTGCTAGCGTAAATCCTCCATTTTCTTCCCGATGTTTGATTGTTTTGTGTTAGTAATAAGAGACCACAAAATGACGTCAGATATGATTTGATTAACTGATTTTTTTCAATGTTCAATTTTGGATTATTCCCGGTTCTTGATTCGAAACAAGTTCCAGGTATAATCACTCGAATAATTAATTCTTCAATATTGTGTAGAAAATTGTTATCTTGATTGGAATTATCCCGAGAATGCCAAGACTGGTTACCCCAGTTTAGAAAACCGTGTCAATTAAAATGTTTCTCCAGAACGATTAGAAAAGCAAAATTTTTGAAGGTGGATTTTGTGTGTGATGTTTGTCATAGAAAATGTATAATCTCCCAATGAGACCAATAATAATTATGGAAAACGCCATTCAAATATTTAAATCCAGAGAACTTTTTTATCGTATGAAATTTTTCTATTATATTTTTTATTTCTATACATATTACAGTATCAAGATTGTATTTTTCTCTATCTGGCTAATTTTATCTGTTCTTGTGTAACTGTGAAATTTTGAAAACTATTAACTTTTGGTCAGAGAAAATTCATTGTTTTAATATGAACATATTCTTCTATTTAGTGTAAAAAAGATGACGACAAGAAAAGGTTGTACATACTCATGAAGTCAGCAAGGAGAAACTTGTCGAGATGGAACTAGAAAAACTTGATTGAATCGACCTTCAAAGTTCTTCAATTGACCCTCTCACCCTCCAAAAAATCGACTCGTCTAAATTCCATTTTTTGAATACCTATTCTTAATTTTCCAGATGATATGGTGATCGAGACCAGAATAAGACCGCCAACATATTGGGATCACATTACAATAGCCCTGGCGGAATTTTTAGGGACAACCACTCTGGTATTCCTGTCATGCATGGGATCCTGTTTCGGAATTCAGGGAGCGGTTTCGTCGATGCATACGAGTTTCACTGCGGGCTTAGCTGTAGCTGCGGTCATTCAAGTAAGTTAAAGCGTAAAAGTTTTCTATTTTGCTCTCTCTATCAACTCTTGAACGTGCTATACAATTTTATCTGGAATAAGAACTTTGTTTTGTGGTCATTAACTTCTAACATCTATTTCAATCTTATAGGATTTTTTTCTATTTCAGACATTTGGTCACATATCAGGGGCCCACATAAATCCAGCAGTATCCCTCAATGCTTTAGTGGTAAACCAAATTGGTTGGCAACATTTACCAAGTTACGTGATACCTCAAATTTTGGGGTCGCTCTCAGGAGCAGCCCTGTTTGTTGTGAGTAATAATCAAAATCGTACTTTTTAGTAACTATAGTATAGACATTCATTATACCAAACGCTACTTTAAATTTCAAATATTAATTCCCGCGTAGTCTAAGTCGAAGTTTCAATAATCTCAGTTGGGGGCAATAGGACGGCCTAGAAGTTTAATTGAATAAGTTTTGGATGCTTTTTCTTTTAAGATAAAATAAATTTGGAGACTAGAAGTTCTTAAAAAAGTTAATTAACCAATGCTTATATTTGTTTTTCAGTCAATAACCAATTCAGAACATTTGGAAATCCAAGCAGGAGGACACGGAATATGTGTTAATGGAATTAATGAGAACATAACCATAACTCAGGTGAGATTTATTTATGCTAAAACCTTTCACTATCTTTTTCGCCTCAAAAACCCTCCTATTTTCCGTTTCGTCTGTCACAAATTGGACACTTTCTATTATGATGAATGGACTCCTGCTTCTAACAGCTCGAGCCCTAAATAGCCATCTATCATTTGCAGACATGGAAATCGGAAATCGATATTGAATTGTAATGAAATTTAAGTTTAGCAACAGGAATTTTGTTGCAGGCAGAGACATGCTCTTGAATATATTTATTAATTTAAATTCTGTATATTATAAGCTCTCCATTATCACTTAAAGATGATGGATATACTGTTGAACTTGAAGCAGGGGAAAATCATTTTTACAGATAATTGGCAAGCTTTATAATACATGTTTGTGTACAGAAATAACATGATGAGACTGGAAAACTTCAAGTTCTTAGAAGCTAACTAATTAAACGAAAAGCTAATGTATCAAGATGACGTAAAAATGCTATTTAAAATGGAAATACACACACTGGCAAAATTAGGGGAACAAATGAAATTCACACTAAGTTTGACATCAATTTTCTCTTGAACCCTCCGCTCGATTTCGATGAATTTTTCACAGATTGTAGCTTGATTCTTCAAGAATACATCTGACGTATTACCGTTATTAAATTATTCGTCTTTATATCATATACAGGGCTGAAAACTAAGTCAGTAATTTCCAGAGTCTTTTGAGACACCCTGTGGAGTGAACCACTAGAAATTCCGAACATTTTCATTTTTGAATCACTCTGATATTTTCAATATTATTGAAAATACAGAATTTCGAAGAATAGGTGGATATTGACCTTGATTTTCTCCACGTTTTCCAATCCAACTTCAAGTAGTATGTGTGAATGTTTACTTCAATTTAAATATTGCTCGCATTTTTACCTCTTACCGATCAATTTATTCTGAAAAGAATGCTTACAAATATACAGGGGGATCATAAACTCCCTTTCATGATTTCCATTTGGTGGAATGTTATTTATTTAAACTATACTCTCTAAACTCAACCTTCACACTTAACCAAGGCTTAGGACTTTTTCAATTTACTCCTAATAGATTGCGGATATATAAAGGCCGGTATTAGTTAGTAGTTTGAAGTTTAAGATTGACCGTGATACGATTTAAATAGTGAATTTTGTAAGAATTGTAAAGAGTTAAGTTGTTTGAGTTAATTAGTGAAGTTAATTGGACTTTGATTTTGGAATAAACGAACCCAAGATTTCTGTCACACACCCAACTCGTGACATTGGTGTCAGAAGTGAGATATAATTCGAAGACTGCAAAGTGTACTCCGATTCCAGAATAGTGTACGGACACTAGTGTGGACACTATAGTGAACACTGGGACAGTTAGTCAGTCCAAGCCGTGACAATTACCAAAAGAAACTTAACCGATTGTATAAATTGCCCCGGAAGTGACTGTATACCCGATTTCGACTGTTTTTGACTGATAGGGAATTTTCAAGTAAGTTCTAAAAAAACCTATTTGGAAACCAAGGAAGATATCGAATTTCTGACTTCGCCGACGTATTCGATACATCAATTGTCATTCAGAAAAAAGAATGTCGAGGAATTTCGGGAAAATTCTAGAACATTCTATCAGGAAACCAAGGGAAATATTGAATTTGTGACTTCACTGACGTGTTTGCTATATCAATCAACATTCAGAAAAGACAATTCAAGAAAGTGCATCTAGAACATTCTATTCAAGAATAAAGCAAGTTATTCAATTGGTGACTTCACCGGCGTGTTTGAAACTTCAAGCAAAAACCAGGAAAGATATTTGAAAAAAGTTTGAGGAAAACTCTAGAACATTCTGTATATCACGCGATATGCCTATTACGAGACAACAAGCAACAATGGAAGAACAATAAGTTGAAGAAATTCTACGTAAAATGTTGGAACTTCAAGAAGCTAAACGACAACAAGAGAAATAAGACGAAGAGGCCAGACGACAAACAAAAAAAAAAACGGTAAGAAGACCTTGGACAACTACAGAAAATATTTCAAATCATACCCGGATTTGTCGCTAACCTAGAACGAAAGATAACGGAAGTAAAAGCCGAAGTTAAAGACTATGTTCAAGAAGTTAGAGACGATGTTCGGGAAGTTAAAGACGATGTTCCAAAAGTTGAAAACGACGTTCAGGAAGTAAAAGCTGATGTCAAAGCCGATGATCAGCAATTAAGACAAGGAGTTGAGGACCAAGTTCAAGCACTTGTAGATGAAGTGAATAAATTAGAAATAAAGTCCATCAATCCAGTAAGTGTTGGGGCATTCTCTAGTATGAAGATATAAAAGTACCAATTTTTGACGGTTCTACGTTCTGGTCTATGTATATTCGACAATTTGAAGCTGCTGCAAATACCAACAGATGCAACGATCAAGAAAAACCTACAGCACTGATAGTGGCGCTACGAGGACCTGCCTTAGATCTTCTTCAGTCAATTCCTTCAATCTATCAGCATAATTACCAGCATCTAAGTCAGATATTAAAATTGCGCTTCGGAGACCATCACAGACAAGAATTACTAAGAACTCAAGTTAAATTAAGAATTCAAAAACCCGGCGAGAGTTTACAAGAATCTGAATCGGAAATTAAAAGGCTAGTGAGTTTGGCGTTTCCTGCATCTAGGGAAGATATGCAAGAATGGATGCAATGGGGACGAGTGAGCCCCAGGGAAAAATATATTTGAAGGCCCCTAACCTATCCCTTGAGTATCACTTGAAAAGTAGGAAAATGAAAACTTCTTTCAATTAAGGATAAAAACTAGGTACTTAATACGAAACTAATATCTAAATATGTATTTTCCGTATCACATAAAAAGTAAAAACATAAAAACATTTCAAATAAAATATAAAAACTAATAACAAATAAAAAATACTAAAATCTATACCTTTACAACTTCAAATTGAGACTTATCACAATCAAATTGAGAACAATCAATTTCAAATTGGTACAACGTTCAATTACATGGAAACGGATGTTGTACCAATTTGAAATTGATTGTTCTCAATTTGATTGTTTTAAGTCTCAATTAGATTTTGGTAATCTCAATTTGATTGTGATAAGTCTCAATTTAAAGTTGTAAAGGCATAGAACCAGAAAATAAAATGGTCTTTTTAAAATTTTCGCATTACCAAAATTATCCATTAAATTTCTTAAATCTAACTTCGCTGCAATCTTTGGGTGGTATGAATAAAAACCAAGTACCTGTTACTGCTACAAGTATCAGTATATTCTTCGCAGTATTTACTTTAGAAACGAAGTAAATACTACCTACATTCCGAAGTACTCTCATTTGTTTTTCCGAAAGTTGCCAAAATAATAACATTCTCCTAAACATTATTACAGCTGAAAATATCTACTTTTTACTGGTAGATCCTTCGATTTTAACAACAACTGAAGTAGTTGCTCCGTTATTAGCGAATTTGGTATCATAGCAGCTTCATCGTGGGTGCTGCCAAGTCATTATTTTGAAAATGGCTGAAATTCATAACAACAAATGCCAACTGTTGGTCTTCATTTTGGGACTCTTCTATCACACTTCCTTCATCCAAAGACATCTTAAAGGACTGTTAAAGTTATAATAAATATTTATCATACAAAACTAACACCATTTCCCAAAAACTAAACATGTCTTATCATGTTAGCCAGGGCCTCTCACGGTGTAGATATGACGGAAGTTAGTACCTACAACACATTTCGGATGATGTTCTACACTTGTTAAGTAGATACTTCATAATACAGGGTGTCACGAAAGGTTTGTTACAAACTTCTAGGGATGGTAGATCTCGTAAAAATTAAGCTTTTTTTTCTAATAAACATAACTCCGGAAATGCTTTGATTTCCAGATACAGGGTGTTGAACTTTATAAAAAAAAATCAATTTTTTTATTAATTCTCAGAAATGCGTTGGACCAATTAAATGATATTTTCACAGTTTCTTGACACCCTTATGGGGTATCTTTTGGACTGCTCAGAGTCGACCCAGTAATTTCAGGGGCGTACCCACAGGTCATGTCGGATGGTTTTTTGCACAAAGCCAATCGCCAAGTAGATTTATTTTCAAATAGGATATGTTTTCTGAATAAAACACTCAAAAATAGACCTTTTTTCGAGCCTTTTTTGTCTTGACCTCCATAAATGAAAGATAAATTGCCTCAGAATTACCTGGAATTTTATCAGCCTTTTTGTTGCTTAAAAATAAACAAAAAATAACCAAAAACTTTTTTTCTAAAACGCACGCATTTCTTAGAATTAATAAAAAAGTTGTCTTTTGTTTACAAAATTTGACACTCTGTATCTGGAAAACCAAGCATTTCCGGACACAATGTTTATTTTAGAAAAATGGTTAATTATTACGAGATCTACCATCCCTAGGAGTTTATAACAAACCTTTCGTGACGAGACAACACTGCGTGCAACGCTTCAAAAGTGCTCCAGGAAAATTAAGTGTTTTAACAATAATAAAGTGTGTTTTTAAACCTCAAAATACTTCCAAGGCATCTCCACAAGGCTGCCCTAGTGGCGTAAGTGCTCAAAATCCCCAAAAACTGTTCGGTTCAATTGATAATTACAATAATTTATGAAGAATGCATATTTAGAGGTCAAACGATCAAGTTTATTTTGAATCGTACCTATGTACTCGAGTACTACAACAGCAGTACGGCTTCAGATTGCAGCGTTGCCGACGTTACTATTTTGTATCAAAAAGGAAACACCATGGAAGAAAATGACGAAATCTCTATGAACAATCTTCGAGATGTAATTTTGGCTGTACAGAGCAATCTTTTGGGCGAAATACAAGGAGTGAAGAACGATATCAAGCAATATAACAGCAACTTATCGGTGGTTAAAGAAGATATTGAAAAATTAAAGCAAGAAAACGAAGAACTGAAGGAAAGACTAGGAATCGTGGAGCGACAAAGAAAAGAAAAAAATTGATATTTCAAGGAATAGATGAAAAATTTGCACCTCCCGA